ACTGGGAACTTGCCTTGAAAGGCCAGGCCATCACCCTATCCTCACCACCGTCCAAGGGCATATCAAGATGGAGGCTGCCAAGCGCACTCTCCAAGTGAACCAAAATTTCACATAACGAAAGAACAATGAGGATCTGAACCTAAGACCAAGACTGATTCAAGTCACTTAGGAGGAAGCTACGTATAACTTGGCTAGGGGAAAAGTGTCAAAAAAGTCCTAAACCTTTGGCGTTTGTGCCAATTTAGTCATAAACCTTTTTTTTTGTGTCAATTCAGTCCTAAACCTTTTGCATTGGTGCCAATTTAGTCCTAAACATTTTTTTTGTGCCAATTCAATTCTAAACCATTTGCATTGGTACCAATTCAATCATAAACCTTTGTCTTTACGCCAATTCAGTCATCGGCCGGATTTTGCTGACATGAATACTGACCGGCCACCGGCACTAACGTGGACAACTTTTAATAACAGTTTAATATTTTTGAATTTTTATTTATTTATTTTTTCTTTTCTTTTTTTTTCTCCCTCCACTCCCTCCTTCCTCCAGCTGGTCACCGGACTGGCGACCGGCCAGAGGCCAGAAGCCGACAAGGCTCGCCCTCGCCAGCGACGGCGAAGGCAAGCCTCGCCATGGCTGGGCGAGGCTGGACCTCGCCATATCTGGCAAGGTCGGGCCTCGCCATGGCTGGACGAGGCTGAACCTCGCCATATCCAGCAACGTTAGGCCTCGCCTAGCCGCTGGCGAGGCTCGAGCCCTCGCCAGAGGTCATCGACCTTGCAGCCTCCGGCCAAGGCTCGAGCTTCACTCAACCATGACAAGGCTCGCCGTCGCTGGCAAGGGCAAGCCTCGCTAGTGGCCGATGAGGTCGACCTCACTGGCTTCTGGCCCGGCGACCAGCTAGAGGAAGGAGGGAGGGGAGGGGAAAAAATAAATAAATCAAAAATCAAAATAAAAAAATATTAAAATATTATTAAAAGTTGTCCACGTCAGCATCGGTGGCCGGTCGGCGTCCACATCAGAAAAATCCGGCCAAAATTGACCGAAAGGACTGAATTGGCACAAAGACAAAAGGTTTAGGACTAAATTGACACAAATGAAAAATGTTTATGACTTTTTTGACAATTTTCCCACTTAGCTAGTAACCCCCGCAATAGTGTTTGCTGAGCCATTTGCCAAGATTACAGTAGCAAGCAAGCGGGACCTTGCACAAAGTTGTTGGCTTATTTAAACTCAGCTTGACTTATCAAATCACTTATAAATGAAGAGTATATATAGCATACATCGTCAGGTCAGTGCATGCTCTATCTTTACATGGACAAAATTATAACTTTCACATAACGATTAGATAACGATCCTTCTAGAAGTTTCAGCCTCTTCCAAAGCAAATTAACAATATTCAAGAAATTATGTAAAGCACTTAAAAGTAAAGAAAAGGGAAAGCAAATTGGTTAGGGTTTCATGTGGCCCTCAGCTACGCTATTTTGTGTTTTCATAGGGCTTCAATATACGGCATTTCTTCACCCATGAATGCACGGAGAGACCAGAATCAGTAACCTATTTCTTCGCAAAGCCTTTAAGACACGAATTAAATGCTAGATGGTCCCGTTAGCAGCTCGTCCACAGGGTACATACGGATGTACCACAAACATAGCACAACCGCAGGCATTAATTACATAACCCAAACATTGACAAACGCATTTTTATGTCTCGTTAGATTAGTTAGCCCACTAGAAAACAACTGGAGATGATGAGTTTAGGACCAGATTGAAGAGTGTAGAATAGCGTACCTATCTTTGTAATGGTTAGAAACGATTTAATGACTCGGGAAATTTAACTATAATGTTGATCAGAAAGATTGAGACTCTAAAAAAGCATTATAGAAGAAAACGAGAAATGGGTCTTTTATAGACTCGTACCTTGGTCCATGATGTTAGACTTAGGCCTTAGTGTCCTGAAAGTTGCGAATTGATATTGCCAGATTTAGCCATATAATTTCAGGACAACTATTCACGTGGAATATTATCCAATGTTCCTAGTACTTTAGAGATATTCATTTGTTATGTTCAATAGTAGCTAGCAGGTAGCTTTTTTGACATTTTATTGAGAAAGTGATTAGAGAGAGGAACTTTCTCCGAATTTCACCGTAGGCAATTCTTGCTCTACAAGCATGCTTTGGAAACTGAGAAATTCATGTTCATCGTTTGTTCTACGTCAAATATTAAGCGCATAAAGTGACCGATGCGCCTTAAATGGATCTTTACATACTATGCTGGCAACTAGTTTATGAATAAAGGAAATTAATACCGTGAATGCATCTTTGACAATCATAGACGCAATTAGTGGCCACATGCTCTAGATACTCTCACGAAAGGAATGACAACAGCATGGTTGAACATGTAATTGAGTACGTTACCCTGGGTAAAAATAAGAAAAAATAAATAAATAAACATAATATTGCTAGACCTAGAAGAAGATGGAGAAGGAAGTGATTTTAATTTTTGATGCCATGGTATTGTTAGACCTAAAAATAATATGCGCACGCATGGACCCGTACGGCTATAGCTAGCACATGGATCCCATCGGATCAAGTTTAAGTGCACACGGAGCACATCAACTCATGGATAAATTAGGGCTCATGTTAAGCTCACATGATTCAGCGGTTACTTGCTTTATATTGAGTGCGCATGAATGGGTTCAGGTGCACATTTTAAACAGAAGGAGAGAGAGAGAGAGCGAAGCATGTTGAATTGAGCCATGCACGCCAATGACACGATGAAAGTGCTCTTTATTAGATAAATGGGCTTATTTGAGATTTGAAATTGGGGTATATAAGCTTAAGCCCAACTCTAAATAGGTCAAGTGGTTCAGTCACGACGAACAAATTAGGCTTCATTTAATTCTTTGTGATTCCTGTGGATCACTTATGTTGTCCCAATAAGCCGATCTGAATTATCATTAGTTACTTCATGCATTTTCTCTCTATACATCGGGAAAAGTACCAAAAAGTTCTAAACATATTGCATTAATACTAATTTAGTCCTAAACCTTTTAATCGGACCAATATAGTCCTAAACATTTTCACATTGTTACCAATTTAGTCCATCTGGTCAATTTAGGTCTGAAATCACTGACATTGATGCCAGCCATCCTATGTGGCACAACCGGTAGACGGCCAGTGCTGATGTGGATATTTTTAATAATATTATAATAATTTTTTGAATTTTTTAAATATTTTTTTTTCTTTCTTTTGGCAATGGAGTTCCACATGAGCTTGGATTCTCACTGAAAGAGTCACTTGAATATGTGCTCAAGTGCTTGTATTGCGATATGCGTCTCATGAGTTGGTTCTTGGAGAGGTCCATGTATCCAAGGGATGCCAAGTCTCGTAGTAGCGTAGGAATTCCCCGACAAAGGTTGTTTGAAGTTAGATCGAGCCATTAAAGATCAGTCAAATTTTCAAGAGTCGGAGAGGTGGAACCTGTAAGATGGCTAAGAGAAAGGTCAAGCCCTATGAGAGAGTAAAAATGTCCGAAGACCCCAAGAATTTCTCCTTGAAAAGAATTGCGCAACAAGTCAGTGGTTGTAAAGATGGTCAAGATCTTCACTAAACAAATAGACCCAAATGTTAACAGCAAAGTTCATATTGTTTCCCTACTACTAGATTGGTGGTTAAGCCGGGGCAAAAACAAGAAATTGATTAAACCGGTAATCAAACAAAGGAATTGCTTATGTTCTTATGATTTTGAGGTGTTGGAATCGTTGTACTTTTTGAATCTGGTGGAACAATTTAGGGAAAATTCCAAATAATAGCATTAAGTTCCATTATTTTCTCAAACAAAGACTTGAAGTGGACTTTGTGTCAAATTAGGGTTTGAAGTGGTCATATCAGTCTCAAATAAGGGTTTGACCTAACCGGTCGCTGGCAATCAAGGACATTTTCGTCCAAAAATAATTTTGATTTTGATTTTTTTTTTGTTCTTTTCTTTTTTTTCATTTTTTCTTTTCCGGCGAGGCGTCATAAGATAAGTTTGCGTACAAGGGAAGAACTCTACTAGAATTCCCCGTTCAATTTCAGTCTCAGATAATACATATAATGGATCCAAGTGAGAAACAGTAACATAGTGACACCAGTGAACCATCCCTTTTGACAGTTCACAAGACATTCCCTCCACCTGTTGTCTGCGATTTTGGGCAAACTAATTGGGCCCTGATTATGAAGATTCTTTCTTTATCAAAGGAAAAGGAAATTTCAATAGAGTAAAAAAGAAGGTTCTCTCTACTTTTTCAGAAGGTTCCTAAAATATCGAGGGTTCTTGTCATACATAAGTCCAGCTGAAGGAGGGAAATGCGTAAGAAATTAGCATAGTTGCAGAATTTAGAAGACCCTCCAAGAGATCACCACATAGTTCTTCGAGAACCGGATTTTCCTTTTGTCGTCCCCTGATTCTTCTGGAAAAGCTCCTCACATAAATATTGGGAATCCATATCCAACAGAAGCACAAAACAATGCTGTCCTACCATATTCGTCTTTTAGAACCTGAAGTACTTCCTCATGGAGCATTCATGAATACAACTGTGTAATCAAATTCCGCACATGCCACATTCATTACGACATGGATAGTTTTGCTTGATGCAAGTAACTATCCGCTCCCATCAACAATAGAGAACGTCGGATGCATAAAACAAAACGCGGTCTGCGCAGCTAAGATTAATTCATACAGGCAGGGCGCATAGGTATTGGTTTTTGCTTCTTCTTTTTTTGTTAATACAAATTTTGTACCGGTCATACTTTGGCTTTTTCTTACCGCTCAACGCTTAAAACTTCCAAAATGTACAAGATTCAACACGCGAGATTCACATATAATATTTTTTATGATGACATTTTAACAAACATAACTGGTGGTCAGGTGCAATTTGTATACCTAATTGTAGATGTGAGAGAGAGAGAGAGAGAGAGAGAGAGAGAGAGAGAGAGAGAGAGAGAGAGAGAGAGAGAGAGTAAAACACTAAAACTAAGGGAAACAGATTCCCAAAAATCAATAAATTTTCTCACAGGGTAGGTAATGTACAATGGCACACCTTCCACTACACACCAACGTGAGGAAATTTCTACAAACCAGACAGTTGATTCACATATCTGCCCAACCGAACCCCAATCACGGGTTTTCAGGTTACATTCCTATTTAATAATCCACTGTTTCTTCCTAGGAGAAACTAAAGGACGACCAACCCCTTAGAAATTGGGAAAAACATGAACCCAGAACGCCAAAACCCTTGCCCACCTTTTCCCTATTTGGGACTGGGTTTCGGGGACTGAAGCTCTCCTTTGTGGCCGAAGCAAAGAGACACGAACTCTTCTTCTCCGCAAGGTATCGTCAGGCCAGTCTCATGGTGGAAACCGAATTGTTCCTCGGCTTGCCGGAGCAGGCTCTGGAAGTCGGGTCTGGTCAAGAAATCAATGGGGACGACGTGCCGGCTTCTGTACTCGCCGACGTACACAACAAAGTGGCCTTTGGGCACGTCCAGAGGAAGGCCTTCTTGATCGCACGAGTGCTTGTTCTTGCCAAAGCTCGAACACCTCGTCACGATCTGCTTGATCACCGCCGTTTGAGAAAGCTTACTTGATTTTCCGAGAGTCATTCTTTTCCTTCTTTTCTTTGCACTATCTGCGGCAGTTTGATGGGAGAGTGGGGGAAAGAACAGATTAGAAGGAGGTGGGTGAACTAGAGAGGAAGGGGTTTCTGGGGGATTTATGGTGGGACAAGGGAGAACACAGATGGAGTCTATCCAAAATTAACGAGGATTTATAGAATTACGAAAAAATAAAAAAGAACTTAAAGCCCCTACTCTATTTAGGCTAGTTGACCCAATGTAAGATTGCCCTTTTGTAATTCTAATTCTTCGACAAACAGCTATAGCCTATATCTTATCAATTGTGTGTCGGAAAGTAAGTTCTTATCACAATTCAAACAGATGATCTCTTGGCCTAATCAAATGTATTGTTAGTTAAAAAGCGTTTATGGTTAACATGTAATAACTATAAACTCTCGTGAAAGCGGAGATTCTTGATCATTTTATTACTTATACATAGATCGGAGCAATCACAATTGATCAATAATGTGAAAAATTTCTTGATTCGTCACACCAAAGTATATGAATTTTCCATGTTTTTATGTTAGCGTTTGATTCTGGTTATTTATGCCAATGATATTCAAACACCATAAGAAATCTTCCCCAGAAGAGAGAGAGAGAGAAAAGATTGTCTTTGGAACCAAACAAAGCGACCAAGGGCTGCTTTGGGGGTCTGGGTAGGCCGGTCGGGTTAGGAACCCTTTGTTGCCCTTCCAAAGGACAACTTGGTCCCTCTCATAATACATGGTCTCAAGCCAAGCTTGCTTTTGTCACTACTATATGGTGTCAAGCTTCTAACTTGATGCCAAATACTATAATAGTCTCAGGTTGGGCAGTATCCCCAACAATATACTTCGAAATTCAAATTAAACAAACGGGGTTTCATACGAACCGGGCTTCTTTTCATACGAACCGGCCGGCTCGAATGACCTGTTGGAGGACATAAAAGAAAAGGTCCAAGGGTGTATTTGTACCTGCACATCTTTGATCAAGAATTTCCGGCAGTTACTGAGGAGGAAATTTATCAGTAAATGCATTCGTACCTCGACTTTAAGGACAATATGATAATTTAGGTAGGAGGGAGTTGTTTAGGTAAACAAATAAAGCAATTCACTGATTTACTCTCTATCACAGAGTTTTGGTATTTAAGTTTCCATTTTTTGTTTTACTTGCTACCGGATGAATTGTTACATAGCTTCTTATAATTAATATCCATCTAGAAAACTTTGAAAAGATTCTTTGTTTTTTGAAGCAAAAAAGGAAAAAAACCGTCTCTCGCATGAAAAAACTGTTCGGATGGATGGTTGCGGATAAAATCTGTTATTTCGAAAATAGATACCAACTTAATTTATTATTTTGAAAGCAGAAAATTATTGTTTTCGTAATAAAATAGTATTTCTGTTTATCTCACGATTTCACTCCTTCCTTGAGTTTCCTCCTTTTTATCTTATTCTTTATATATATACAAAATGAATAATGTATTGTCTACTCATTGCACTTTTTAAATCTAAATATTATTATCCTCGTTAGAGTGGTTCATGATTTTTTTTACCAAATTATAATCCATATTGAGGACAGTAATTAATTTGTATTTAACATAAGGTTCATGACTAAATTGGCATAATTGAAAGATTTATGACTGAATTGATCGTCATACAAAAGGTTTAGGACTTTTTGTACAATTATCCGGCCACAATAGTGAATAATTCTATACCAACATTTGCTGATATAGATTGATTATAGATATTTTCAGGCCATCTTGATTGCTAGGGGAAAAGTGCCAAAAAAGTCCTAAACATTTTGCATTAGTGCCAATTTAGTCCTAAACCTTTTTTTGGTGTCAATTCAGTCCTAAACCTTTTGCATTTGTGCCAATTTAGTCCTAAACCTTTTTTTGGTGCCAATTCAGTCCTAAACCTTTTGTTTTTGTGCCAATTTAGTCCTTCCGGTCAATTTTGACCAGAATTTGCCGACGTGGACGCCTGCCGGCTGGCAACCGGTCACCGGCGCCGACGTGAACAACTTTAATAATATTTTAATATTTTTTAAATTTTTATTTTTTTTCCTTTTTTTTCCACTTTTTTTTTTGGTTCCCCCCTCCTTCCTCTGGCCGGTCGCCGGTCCGGTGACCGGCCAGAGGCCAGAGGCAGGCGAGCTCGACCTCGCCGGCCACTGGCGAGAGCTAGCCTCGCCTTGGTCGGGCGAGGCCGCGGCGAGGGCGAGCCCCGCCATGGTCGGGTGAGGCCCGACCTTGCCGGATCTGGCGAGGTCGAGCCTCGCCCAGCAACCTCGCCAAATCCGGCAAGGTCGGGCCTCGCCCGACCATGGCGAGGCTCGCCCTCGCTGCGGCCTCCGGCGAGGGCTCGAGCCTCGCCTTGGTCGGGCGAGGCTCGACCTTGCCAAACCAAGCGAGGTCGGGCCTCGCCCGACCATGGCGAGGCTCGAGCCCTCGCCGGAGGCCACCGCCCTCGCCAGTGGCTGGCGAGGTCGAGCTCGCCGGCCTCTAGCCTCTGGCCGGTCGCCGGACTGGCGACCAGCCAGAGGAAGGAGGGGGGACCAAAAAAAAAAGTGGAAAAAAAGGAAAAAAAATAAAAATTCAAAAAATATTAAAATATTATTAAAGTTGTCCACGTTGGCGCCGATGACCGGCCGCCGGCCGGCAGGCATCCACGTCGGCAAATTCCGGTCAAAATTGATCGAAAGGACTAAATTAGCACAAAAACAAAAGGTTTAGGACTGAATTAGCATCAATTTAAAAGGTTTAGGACTTAATTGACACCAAAAAAAGGTTTAGGACTAAATTGGCACCAATGCAAAAGGTTTAGGACTGAATTGGCACCAAAAAAAGGTTTAGGACTAAATTGGCACTAATGCAAAAGGTTTAGAACTTTTTTGGCACTTTTCCCTTATTGCTAGTGTGCAATGAGCATCAAGTTGGGCTATATTCAAATCAATTGTCGCTACATGCACACAATTGGTGCGATACTTTCTTTCTGTAGATTAACTTTCTTGCCATAAGAGTAAGTAGTAACGCATTTGGCTTCTTTTACGTTTAAATCTATCTTAGTTGAACAGAAGCCAGAAAAAAAAAAGCTTCTCTCTTTGTTACCACCATCACAGTTGCATCACAAACCGATTGCGACGGCATCGTGGTAAACCGATAGTAGGCATCGGTCCACACCATTGATTGCTAATAGAACACTCGTTTTCTTGTGTCACACCACGGAAAAGAAGTCGGGTCTTCATTAGAAGGGGACTTGCATGAATCAAGAGATGGAGGACAGGCGGGAGGTGGTCCAAACAATGTTGTTAGTACAAGGATCACGGAATAGGACACGGAACTGGGGAATTTATGAGAAGTGAGAATCACCTTCAGAATTCAGAAGAGTTGTGAGCCTCTGATAAAGTCTATTCATCTTCATACCGAAGAAAGGAAACCGTTCGTTTCCTCCATTCAACACATTGTCTGCATTCTGATCTTCCCCTATCATTTCAAGTTTAGTTTTAAACCTAATGACACAATACACGTAATTTGGCGAGGAGAGCCCTCGCCAGGCCCTCGCCAGGGCTCGCCCTCGCCCAGGTGAGGCCTGGCGAGGGTCAACCTTGCACAGGCCAAATTTGGTGAGGCTGCTGTGACCTGAGCGAGGGTGGCCGGGTGACGGCGACCCTCACCCAGGGGAGGCCAACCCGCCCGACCATGGCCGGTGGCCATCCATCGCCTATGTCCCATGGCCGGTCACTGGCAAAAGGAAGAAGAAAGAAGAAAAGAAAAAATACTTCAGCGCCGGTGGTGCCACGTAGACCGGCCAATGTCCACATCAACAATATCCGATCAAAATTAGTCAGAAGAACAACTAAATTGGCACTATATCAAAAGATTTATAACTAAATTAGCTCAAAAAAATGTTTAAGATTAAATTGGCACAAATGCAATAGATTGAGGACTTTTTTTTACACTTTCCACCTATGTTGGCTGGTAATTATGTCTTGTTCTTATGTAATGCCAAACTATAAGATCGTATGAACATTGACATTTAAATTCATACCATCCTCTTTCATAAATTTTTTGCAGGTTAAAATATTATTTTTTATTTGGCGGAAAATTGATGTGACTCGTTAGGCTGACCCTTCATCTGCGTGTATATATACGGTTGGGAAAGTCAAAAAAAGTACAGCTATTATATGAGAACTTGTATTTTAGAAGGAGCCAGTGTATTTTTCCATATGTGATTGGTTTGTATGTGCGATAAAATGAGTTTGGGTAACGCTTGCGATTGCTTATTCTGCAATTACTCCACCCTTTACATAGTCATTCAGATGCATGAATGAAGCAGGGGAAAAATATCAAAAAGTCCTAAACTTATTACACTCATATCAATTCAATCATAAAGTTTTTAATTGTGCCAATTTTTTTTATCGAAAGAAAGATTCCATTCATCATAATAATACTCGAGAGATACATAGAAGGCTGACAAGTCTAGCAAATCCCAAACAAATGCGGAACAGAGCATATACTAGAATGCAAATAACAAAACACAAAACACAGTTTACGGCTAGAAACACTCTCTCATCCATCAAGAACAGATCTACCACCGTAAACGTTCGACGACCGATCATCAGATTCAGTGATGAGCACACGTCGAGATCCCCCACTCCTTTTGCAACAGCTTGCGATGCGTGTCTAGGTTCAACGTCCTTATCACCATCATCGTGTAGAGACACCAACATCAATATGGTAAAAGAATACAAATCAAATATTTTTAAGGAACTCTAGATCTAGACCTAAATTTAAATCAAGAGAGTAAAACCCCCAGATCTAGACCTAAATCTAAATCGAGAGAGAAGAGCAGCCTAATCTCCGTGCCAATTGAGTCCTAAACTTTTTAACGACTTGTCAATGCAGCCAATTAGCCGAAAATCGCTCATGTTATCTATCTCGGCGAGGGCATCGCGACCCTCGCCCAAATCCAAGTGAGGACTATGACACCAAAGCATGGTCTGGGCTAGGGCTAGCCATAAGCGAGGGTCACTCGCCTAGATCCAAGCAAGAGCCCAACACCCTCGCTGGCCCAGAATTGTAAGAAAAATATATATATTTAAAAATTATAAAATTTATCTACTTCGGCGTTGGTCGTGTTAT